AAATGTACAAGCCTATATTTTAACCATAAAATATAAATAAATAATAACAGAGATAATAGAATATTAAATAATATAAAACGAATATACAAATGTATATATTTATAATTTATATTACACATTACATCACTTTTACGCTAATATCACTTTCATGACGTCAGTGGAACCGTGCAATCTCATTGGTCCACGGAACACAAGATCATTTTGCTTATATCCACGTGGAGGTGCTGAAGCGACGAATAAAGCCTGGATTTCACACTCCGCCCCTATTAAAACTCTTATATCCAAACGCAAACACTATGAACCTTTAAAAATAAACAGTCTGAAGCTAACGCTAAACGTGGACATGGATCTACGGAGTCATAAAGCCTATCCACACTGAACCGATCGATCGTAGGTCAGCGTCAATGTACTGATGTGTTGTGGGATAAGTGACCACACGGATACGCAGTGAAAGTGTGCAGAAGAGTTGCTAAATTCGCCGGAGAAACATCATGGCAAACAGTGTCACTCAAGAGTACATGCAGATCCCAGCCGTCACGCGAGCATATACCACTGCATGCGTCCTGACAACTGCAGCTGTGGTAAGTAAGCCAGGCTACAGTATAAGGGATTCTGGATTAACATTGCAATATAAATATAGAATCATTACATACTGAAGACTGTAAGTCAATATGCCTTCACAATTGTTATCTTCCCCACATTCAGTGTTCAATGTCAGTGTAAATGCTTAAAGAACCAACATGAAAAAAATAATTTTGTTCGAGGAGGTATATTTCATTTTCAAGAATATTTATATTTTGTTTATATTATATTTTATATAATTATCTTGTGTATTTTATTTTTGTGCTGTAACTTTTACTGCAGTGTGACATGAAGCTGCAAACATTATAAACAGCCTCTCAGTTAATGAGGTAATAAAATGTTATGTATTATTATACAAAATAGCTTGTCACAGTCAACTACCCAAAAATCACACAAATTAAGAGTAATAGAACTTACAGTTCTAACATCACAGTCTAAAATAGGTTCAGTTTTCACGGTCAGCAGAAAACCTTGTGACTTGCTTGACTTTTTTTTGTTTGTTTATTACAGCAATTGGAGTTCATTACACCGTTTCAACTCTATTTTAACCCTGACTTGATATTAAAGAAATACCAGGTCAGTAGCCTACCCTAATACTGTTAAAACATGTTGCGTTTATGACAACCACTTTAACAACAGTATGTAGTCTTTAATTTTGATATACTGTACATTTATTTTATATAGATATGGCGACTGATCACAAACTTCTTGTTTTTTGGACCTCTTGGATTCAGCTTCTTGTTCAACATGATTTTTCTGTATCCTTTTTGATTTGTTGGTCGTCTGTGAGGAAGTGTGCACACAAAAACACATTCACAGTTTCACAGTGTGTTTGTTTTGCATAACAGCCGTTTGGCTCATGTGCAGCTGTGCTGTAGGTCATCTGAGTTTATGCCCTTGACTGAGCAGATATCGTTACTGTCGAATGCTGGAGGAAGGCTCCTTCCGTGGTCGAACATCAGATTTTGTCTATATGTTCCTGTTCAGTGGTGTTCTAATGACTGTATCCTTCAGCATTCATCACATTAACAACAGCCAAGCATGCATCTCTTCACCAAACCACGTATCGTGTCATTATCAATGATTACTATCAATGATTACTTAGCCCATGTCTTTTGAAACGTATATGTATACTACCAGTCAGTTCAGTTGGGGTTGGGAAGATTTTTTAATGTTTCTGAAAGAAGTCTCTTATGCTCACTAAGACAGCATTTATTAGATTACAAATACAGAAAAATCTGAAATATTGTGAAATACTAATATAATTTATTTATATGGAATGACATGATGATGAGTAAACAATAACAATTTTCATTTTTGGGTGAACTAGCACTATAAGCTCAGTTCATCTATTCAATCTAACCTACAGGTTGATATGGAAATGATATGTTTATTCATAAGGAACATTTCATCCTTTTATGTTGTTTATTTGTAGTGATGAATTCAGTCTTTAGTCTTATTCAGTCTTCTTTAACTCTGTCTATAGCTCTTTGGTCTATTTGCCAACCTGTTCTTTTTAGGACAGGCTTTCACTATCATGCTGGTTTATATCTGGAGTAGAAGGAACCCTTATGTCCGCATGAACTTCTTTGGCCTGCTCAACTTCCAGGCCCCATTCCTTCCCTGGGTGCTCATGGGATTCTCACTGTTACTGGGCAACTCCATTGTTATTGATCTCCTGGGTATGTTAACTTTTGTCCTGAAATGC